ACACACTAATACACACTATACTCATAGTCATGCAATGCTGATGTGGCTAACATTAATAATTTGAGAATAAAGTATAAATAGCAATAATAATAATTTGCATGGTTTGATGTGATATGAGCTAACCCATTTTTAGATTAAATCACCATTGGTAGCGTGATTTATTGTAATGCTTTTTTCCTCAGTTGGTCAGAACAAACGTGGCAGACTTGTTACTTACTTGTTCAGATGACAATATACGGTGAAACTTCTTATTTGAGTCATGTATTCCAAGACGTAGGCTAGAATCTGTGATTGCGAAGTACAGTAAATATCCACACCGGTGCGGTGACTGACTGCCACACATACTCCTCAAAACATTAGATTCATCTGTGCTGGAGCCGTGCCGACGCACAACCCATGCAAGGAAGATAATTCTGCAAACAGCTGCAATTGCAGGTTTTCAAACAGAGATGGCGACAAAGAGGCAAAATTTACAGACTGCAGCTTTAAAAAAAAAAGAAAGAAAGAAAACAGACAGTGGCTACGTAGTTTTCAACCAATTTATGAATAAAACTGGGAAGATACCTCTCCACTTCACATTGTCCAATGAAATTTGAGCTTGTTTAAGAGGCACACAATCTATAGCAACTCAATGGCAATAACATCTCAGACTATAAATAAAAATAAACAGGCATTTTCCAAAACAGAAGTTTTGAGCCATTCATTACTAATTTTGAACATGTTCATCATAATAATTATGATTCAAAAGCATGTTGTTTTATTGACCACAATATTATTGTTGATAATTGTTGAAAGAGGGGCATATTTGATTAATTTGGGGAAAAGGGCAGGGGCTTGAGCTCCCAAATTGAGCCCCCTCCCCCGCACATGCCTGCTTGCAATAAAATATATGAACAATGACTTGAGGTGTGGTAACCATGATGTAAGTAGAATAATTGGCCTGTCGTCGGTTGCAACTTACATATTTCTGTTTAATAATTCCTATAATTAATCTGTAAATAATCAACATGAACAGCTCAGAGTCTGGGTTGTCAGCTAGTAATGCACCTTATCATCTATATTAACATTTATAACAGCCTTGCAAATGCATAGCAACTTCCTAGAAACATGCAACTGTATAGAAACATGTTAAAAACCACACCTATGCCACCACATAGCAACCACCCACAACATCCTAACAATCACACAGCAATATAATATACATCACTCAGGACATCTTGGTTAAATATGTAGCAGATACGTAGCAAATCCCTGGCAACCACCTACAACACTCTATCAACCGCATAGCAACTTGCTCATACATACTCAGTACAGCTTAGCAACCACTAGCAATATCCTGACACTGAGGCAGCGACTTGCACAGGCAGACACTACACATTTTCTCCAGAAAATTTTATTTATTTCTGAAATCATGAACGAATCGAATAGCTTACAGGATATGATATATCTATAGTCACATTACACTTCTGATTGGAGCATCTAACATGTAACCATTCCCTCAACCTACCAAAATGTTTTGTCAACAAATTTTATGTGTTATTTTTGCCACACATAGGTTCCTGTGGCCATTCTGCTATGATTGCGTTTAAATGAGAACTATCATTTGGAGACTTTTTCTCCCAGAACAAGGCTAAGCGCTCTGACACTACCCACTTATTTCCTCTGAATTTTCCTCACTCTCTCCTGTACTTACCCACAGTGCACAGCAGGCCCTTAAACACCATTCATCTCACATAATAGATGTCTTGGCCACCATCAGTGAAAAAGGGTTTATTTTAACATCCTGCTTGTAGGTTTTATTTTACCTAATCTTGTTTTGGCAAGTGAATTTTAGGGCTGTATTTGGGAGACCAAGATGGGAACAGCCATGGGGAATCCCTCGTGGTGAGAGACTAAGAGAAAGAAATGAAAAAGAGATGCGGATGGGGGAGGTTACCCTGGGAAAGGAAAATATGCTACCAAAACTGACTGAAATCTC